ATTTGCTACCTATTTTATTAAAATTTTACTAATTTTATTTAAGTTTAGATTGAAAGTAAGTAATATTTTATTAAATTTTAATTTGAAAAAAGAATTAAAACAAAATATCTTTTAACAAGTATATAAGTATAGATTCGCAAATTACTTGATATTTGTTGAGTTAAGTACAAAGTATAAATTTTTAAATATTTAAATAAGTATCAAAAAATTTTTTTTTTGAACATTTTGTTATAGGACCGGCTCGAACCGTTGTCTTGAGGGAGGAGGACATGAACCTTACAAGCGTGGCTAGAGTCGCTTGGCCCGAAAGGTCAGGTTCAAATAAGTATCAAATTTAAAAGTTATATACAAAAATTTTTAAATTAAATATTAAATATATCTCATACCTGATTTATACCCAAAAATACTCACCTTGTAAACAGGAGACCACTAAGAAAAAGGAAACCACATCGCAACCGCCTTTGAACTTGAGGGCCTTAGCCACTCGATCTATGGATAAGACAGAGAGAAATTGAGAGGGCCCTAGCCCTTTTAATTTCAACGGCCCAATCAAGTTTTCTTTGTGGCCTTACCAAAAGTTAGTTAGTACGACGAACGCCGGAGCCCCTCTATCATGAATTTTTTTTTTTTTCTAATATTGAGAAAATGGGAAAAAATGGATAACACTATAAGGAACTGAAGCATGGTGATGTTTATGGTGAAGGTGCATCATATAAATGCAAGCACAACCGCGGGTGCCCGTCTATCTTCTTCTTTTTTCTTTTTTTTTTTGGTTTCCTGCCCATTATCCGGGGCTTCGCCCCGACTAATCCGTACCCGACCTGCGTCGCGCACTTGAAAATGGTGGGTGAGTCTCCCAGCGGGGGCTGCTGCATACACAAGGTCTCGAACTCAAGATCTTGCTTAAACTGGAACAAACCGCTTACTACTTGATCCAACCCCTCGTTGATGGTTCCCCTCTATCATGATTAATGAATCATGACTTTGCAAAATCTGATCACTGTTTGGAAAAAAGAAGAAGAAGCTATAATTAACTGTACCAAATGCGGGAAAAAAAAAAAAACTGAATTCAACACGCTTAATTAAGTTCAATTTTTTTATATTAATTGTATTAAAAAAAGATAAAAGTGAAAATTAAAACTTTATAAGAATATGTTTGAAGGATTGTCTAAATTATATTTTAAGGGTATAGGTTGGGATTATATTAATTATATTTTTTTACATTTAATTTTCATATAAAATCACAAGGGTTTATCTCATTTTCATCACTAATACTACATGCATACTTTTAATTGGGTGGTTGGTAAGATTTAAGTTTTTTTTTTTTTTTTTTATCTTTTAATATAAATTAATTATAAAATGTACAATAAATACACTCCTAATGTGTGACTTAAAAGTACAAGTTAAAAATTTTCTTGTTCAAATACCTTTGTAGCATGTTTGGAACATGATTTTTGAAAAGTGTATTTGAATTTAGACACTTCAAATTCAATATCACTATTTATTTTCCTAAAATAAGTATGTAATTAAATTTAATCCAAATAGATGTAATTGGGTTCGTGTATTTCATTGCTTTAAATTCTACGTATTTCAAATCCTTTCCCAATCCCATGTACTTCAACTTTAGATTCATGTATTTCAACTCTCCTAATTCTAATGGAGCTAGACGGTGGATGATTTCTCCTCCCCCACCCTTTATTTCGCTACCCACAATGAACTAAATCTCTAGTTGAGCAAGTTAGCATTTCCCTATTTGACAATGAGCGAGTGATGACCCACATGATTAGCAGCCATCATAACAAACAACTCCTAAGGCATATTAAGCAAAGCAAACAAATGCAGCTAGAATGTCCTGGCAAGGGAAGATTAAACAC